TTTGAACTTAGGCTGTTTTCTTGGGCTTCTCCCCTGTTATGATAAAGATGAAGCATTGGCAGTAAGTAGAGGTATCAGTATCCATTGTTCCTGATTACATCGAGGCTGGATTTGCAACGAAACATGTGCAGTCGACAGAGCTTCAGTTTCTACTAGTGTACTAACTATGATTGCAACTTCTATTTCCTTATGACGTCACATCGTGGAAAGATGTTGGAGGCAGTGGAAATGTGGGCCAATTATTTTTGCTCCAAAAGTTGAAATTCAATTTATCAGGTTTTTATAAAAATTATGTATCAAAGACTGCTCATGTACATTTCAATGGATATGCAGTCACTCCGACCCCTTCTGGCGACCATAATGCACAGCGTTAGAATAGAATGTTTTACGTGACGTCATAACGAAATAGGGAGTGTTCGTCTTCTATTTCTCAAGGGAATTTAAAACAATACAAAAACGCCACTAAACGGAAAAATCATAACCCTGGACTTTCGGCGCCCAAGCAAGGGTCTGTAAAATATCCTGTCCTCAAGTGAAATAGAGGTTAGTAGAAGTATCGATTTGTAAAGATTTCTCATTTCTGTAGAGAATCGTACATTTTTGAACGGTTGATTTTAACACCATTGCATAATTATTGTAACACAAATTTTAAATGACAGWTAACATACCAGTGCGTACTCTGATGTAAGCAAGTCTTCTCCAGTAAGTTCACCACTCAAAGGTTGAATCATTTCATGTTTACTGTGATCAATGTCTATGGCATCTTCTTCCTTTAATGGATGAAGTAAATWTATTCCTTGTTATCTCCATACAGTGTTTGAGTACAGAAATAATTGTAATTACACTAGAAAACAAGACAGCATAGGATAATCATCTCTAAAACATCAAWTCTTACATCGTCATCATCAGCTTCATCTTCGTCATCAGAATGGGGATCATTTGTTGCCAGAGGATTCTCTGTAAGATCAAAGACCACATTATCATCTGATTATTTTAGCGGATTTTTTTCTTGATTRGTATTCCACGTCTGAGTAAAAATCCAAGTCATAAAAATTACATTGCAATAGACAAATGGAAAAAACAGATAAATAGTTGAGAAATTGAACCTGGCCAAAATAACAACACTTGTTTTTCCTACACATTTTTCATCTTTTTGAAATATTAAAATATAACATATTAAAATATGTTACAAATGAGCTAAAAATATCCATATCAATGGTGGAGAACCCGGATATGATGSTCCAGCGACAGAATTGCGCCATGGAAAACTGTATTTCACGTCTCGGAGATTCGAATGCACGTTTGATATCAAACGCAATTGTAAAACTCATGAATAATTAATGAGGAAAACACAATAGAAATCACAACCGTGAAGAGTGCCGTAATATTTGATACAAAACTGTCTTGATTTGCATAAACTTCAAAATCGAATTTTCCCAGCCAAATTCAATTTTATCTTTAAGTTTTTAGTAGATTATGAATGTATACACCTAAACGTTTCACAAGTAATTTACAACATTCGCATCCGTGTTGTATGGGCTTTACAATCTCTCGCCTTCGGCTCGAGAKTGTAAAATCCCATACAACACGGCCGCTCATGTTGTAAATATCACTTACAAGTCCAMTCTGTTCTAAATGGACGCTGAGCCAAATTCCGAAACGCCTACAGCACTAAGACTGGCATACAAAAACTTGATRTACATGTACTACTTATATTGTATACCTGTATTAAGTTGTTTGATGATAAACTGTATCTGCCTTTGCATATCTGCATTCTCGTCATTCAAAAAACATTCCAGAATTGACTCCATGCCCTAAATATTATCGTTAGATATTATTAATGATAAGAACTATTTAAATAGTTATATTGCGTCTTGTGATTGGTTGTACAGTAGGTATAACTACTACAGGCGTACATACAATCTTACACGTCTGTCGGTACCTCTCACTATATGTATGTGAACCAACCAGTCGGACCAGTCCGYGTTTAAAAGTAATAAGGCCTTTAGCTGAGTTAGTGAAGTTTTCCACTCACTGATAATATGGGGGCAAACGTAGGACTTGATTCTGCTAATAGAACCCCTCTGATTATTAACAGAATCATGGAATGTGCCCTTRGCTTACCATTGCTCTGGCTTCCTCCTTAATCGCTGGTAAAGCCAGGATGCTGTACAGTGCACCATTGATATATGGCCTTATCTGAATACACAACCAATATATCTTAATAAATGTATAGTACTAGTGACGCCAGTTACAATTATTTAAATATATTGAGATAAACATTTCTTATTAAGAAGGGATGGAACGTGTTTTTTTTCGTCAAAGGAATGTGCAGAAAGTTACATTAAAAGGAAAAGAATCCCACATACATAGTTACACAAATCTTATAAAGTTTCAAGCTTTTATGATAGAGAAAAAAACTCTCTTTCGAAAATCTCTTTCGAACTTTATCAGCAAAAAAGGAAGTACTAGGACGATCMATCCTTCCAATAAATGGATTTGGATTATAATGATTATAATTGTATAATTAAATACCTCTTGATTTTCGTGTCCCAGTAGATCACTAAGGACTTTSAGAACATGTGCTGAGTTATTGATGCACTTTCGTTTTCCTAAAGAATATCATTTTATTAAAAGTAGAATTATAGCGATAATTATTCTTGAACTTGTATGATTCATGAATTATATTGACCTTTTTGTTAACTTTCCTTGACTGGAAAAATRTTTCAGAATCATGAATAAATTGAATGACRCCATRTRAWATGTGAAGTGGSCCCCTTTTAATTTCAGGCGGCGAAWTACGAGATACAAAATCCATCAACTTAGCGCAACATTGTTTCTGTTCAAGTTTAGGTTCGATCAAATTCTMGTYTTTCATCGCACGCGATCAAATTGGCACGCAAYAAAATCCTCTGTTGCGAGTTGAAGAAATCTCGCACGCGAAACAAACGAGAAACAAAGCCAAAATYTGTATCTGAAAGTAGAGCGCATCAACTTTCTTCAACTCGGGAAAGAGGATTTTGTTGCGTGCCAAGTTGATCGCGCGYRATGAAAAACGAGAAACTTCGAACCTAAACTTGAACAAAAAAATAATRTTGCGCGCCAAGTTGATGGTTTTTGTATCTCGYATTTTGCCGCCTTATATCCGCTTRGGTAATCTCTACACRAAAGATTATTTTAGAGAACACCAAATAGCATTTATCATCTTTGTGTTTTGGTACCTGATGATCTCAAAGACAGATTCATAAGAAGAGCAACAGAATACTCTAGAGTATAGTCTGTTAGTGAGTCATGGTCGTCCAGCAGGGTAACCAGCCATTGAATCAGGTCCTTTTCTATCATRATGGACTGAAGATTTCTCCTGATAACAAAAGAAATGTTGGTTCCTCACATGTAGCGTATAAAATAAATATTAAAACAAATTAAAAACAAATGCATTAAATCCATCGCAAAGAGGTACGCATTTTTAAACGTGTCGGTTAGATGTACAGAATAATCAAGTTTGGAGAAACGTTGTGTGTTAAGGTGATGTTACACGAGATAAATTTGCAACGTTCGATGTGCGCGCAATATTTGAATCAATTTCCATTTTTCAGTGATGACAGCCATATATCAAACAGTCAMTAATATTGTAGAAAWTCAAATGGCAACATTTGCTCGCTACAGCCTGTTTTGTTCGGGTTTTGTGTGTCCAAACCTTAAACTYAGTTTCTGTAAAGTTCCAAGAACATTTTCACTGGTCAGCGAGGTCCTTGGTTCAGTCATCAGTGATGTGTACAAAGCCTGCAAAACCTCTGTACTTCCAGCAAAGTATGTACGCCCTAGTAACACAAGAAAGATGTCATTAGASGTTTATTTGAAAAATTCCAACAACATCTAGATTTAGTAGAAACTTACTAAGAGAGCGCCGTCGCCCAGGAATACAACTAAGGCCCCGTCCACACTAAAGCGTTTTCGTTTGTATCCGTTTTCAATAGGTGTGAAAACGTATAGATTGAACTGCGTCCACACTAGCGTATTCAAGCGTTTCAGTGTGGACAGTTGAAAACACAAATACGGTCATATCGATCAAATTACATGTCTTCTGCGATAAAGAAAACTCAATAAAACCAGAAAAAAAAACTGCTCAAGACGCTTTCACCTGGACAGATGATGAAGTTAAACTTCTGTTAACAGTTACAAACGAGTAGAAGGTTTCAAAACGCACGAAAGCGTGGATTGGGAGTCAGTCCAAAGCAAATGCAGTCATTCTCGAACGATTCAAAAAACACATTCCATCGACAGAGGAAAAAAACTCCCAATCTCTTTCATCTGGAAAAGACTTGCCACAAAGCAGACGATATTACTAAGAATATTTAACTACAAAACTTAAATCTATAAGACCAAGGGGAACGATGACGTCATCGTTTTCAAAAGGAATCGTTTTCGCTGTCCACACTGACCGGGATGCCGTAGCGTTTTCAAAACGCTTCACTTTCAACAGCGTTTTCAAAAGGCTCCGTTTTCGATGAAAACGCTCAGCGTTTTCGAGCGTATTAGTGTGGACAGAAGGGCAAAACGCATACTTTTCGATTCGTTTTCAAACGAAAACGCTCTAGTGTGGACGGGGCCTAAGGCCCGGTTCATACGTCGAGCCAGCGTCGCTTTTAAAATAAATTGATGTGGACCCAAATGCATTTGGTAAGGCGTTGATTCATAAGTCGAACCAAATGCAGTCAAAAGCAGAAAAGATCCCATAACACGCGATTTACATCCATTATTATTGTTGAAAACATATATTTTTGTGCGTTACGTTCGAAACGACGATAGCTCGAGCTTTCGCCGTGCAGCACGACTGGCGCTGCCGTGCCACTGCAGTGCCACTGCCGTGTCGAACTCAATTGATTCATGCGTCGAGCTGTTCATGTACTAAATTCAAATCATTTGGTTTGGCGCGACGCTGGCTCGACGTTTGAGCCGTGTCTAAGATTTCGACCTCTCCGTCCCGAGGCAAAAGTGGAAGCTGAGCACAGCATGGGTTTGTGCTGTTATGTGTTGGTGTTGTTTAGGTTTGGCCCAAGGCAGCTATAATCACATCAAGAACAATATTTCTTTACCAGCTGAAAATGATCCCATTGAATTGAGTAGTCTTGCCATGTATTGTCTGACAGTATCATTTGAATGGATGAGTAGACCCAGAATATCATCCTATCAAAGAACATAGTCTAATAGTCATGATTTCAGTTTTATTCAGAGTGCAAGGTTAACGGGATGTCTTTATAAGGATGATATAGAACGGGAAATAGTAACTACTGGACATCCACAGCATAACAAAAGATGCAATATAATACATGTAAGTATTGGACATTCTCACCTCTTTGTCTGTTGTAGATAAACCAATCACATCATGGATTATATAGGCTGTTATGCTTGCATCTCTCTTTTCAATATTTGGTGCATTAGTCAGCCTCTGTTATTAGCATAAAAACCAAAGCAATTAATTCAAGCAAGACTAGCAGTTTAAAGCAACAATTACATTTGAGTGTTACTTACCCATCTCAGTGCTTGGAGAAGGAAGATTAGAGGACGTTCATTAAGGACCAGTAAATCTTTCTTGATCTTGTCATAGTCCAGAGATATAAGAGAAGGACTCTCCTTACTATCTGAAACACTGATTTCCATAATATATCACACAGGATGTACATAACATTCATTATACAAAAGACAAGAGATTTGTCTACACAGAGATATTTTCTGAGCCTTTGGAACAATCAATATCCATCATCAGAGTGTACCATGAGATAAATGACCTTAGCGGTTAATAAGGACAAAAAGAGTGTTAAAATACATATCAACCAGCACAAAATATTCCMGTCTTATCAATTATTTTAAACCTCGGATCACCTTTGAGGATTTACAGCTATTGAAGCTCTCAGCATAGAACTGGCCTGGAAAAAATGAAAAGATTATATATTGTATTTAGGAAATTATAGCACACACTTGACAAAGTGATCCAGTCTGTACATAAATAAAATGATGCACCATTGTGAAAAATGGAAAAGAGGAGAATGGGGTGAACATAAAAAATCCAGAAAAACAAATTGAAATAAAAATTTTAAGAAGAAAAAAAAGGGAGTCAAGTAGTTCAAGTGTTCTTTACAAGCCCCAGAAAGACACTGGCACAATATACAAGATGTATTTTCTGAAGTGCAATTGTACTCACAGTTCCTGGTTTAGTGACATCAATAGAGTCTTGCATAGAGTTACTAAACAATCTTAAACAAATGTCTTGAAGATATTCAGGGGTTACCTGGTTAAAAAATTCAGTATTAAAAGTGTCGACAAAACTATTGAAAAATTGATAAACAATGTGAATTGATTTTGATTCCTACAATGTTTTCACATCATTATAATTTTAATAATTAAAATACAACAGCATTTGACATCACTTACCATTTTCCCTCGGACACAATCCTCTAAGGAGTCCACAAGTTCTGCTGCTATGCCTATTAGTCTATGGTAGTCATTCTGAAACAATGAAAGGCATCAATCATACAACTGTCTTGTATTTGTCCTGTCTTTGATAATAATAGGAAACTGATCAATGACAATTCTAAGTTGAATACAGTTTGTCTCATTTTTAGTGAGAAAACATGCCAACACTGACTAAAATAAGATATTATATATAACAGCCTGAAAGTAGTCAATTTACCAAGTGTGTTCTATTTAATAATATAGAAGATAAAGTTCCTAAGGCCAATTTCAAATGCCTTGCTACTGTCGCGCCGAACCAAATAGTTTGAATTAAGCACATGAACAGCTCCACGTTTGAAACAATTAAGTTTGGCACGACAGTAGCACGGCAGCGCCAGTTGTGCTGCACAACAAAAATTTGATAGTGATTCATACTTGGTTTGACGTATAAAACAACGTAGTGTCAAATGGAATTGGCTCGACAAAAATTTGGTATTTGGTTTGGCGCGACACTGGCACGGCATTTGAAACAGGTCTTAAACTCTCTAAAATTTACAAAAAAATAATGATAACAATCTGTTATTCCTTTCTCAAAATTAATTGCATTAATTCACTGATAAATGAGTTCCTGCAGACTGTTGACTTTTCATTGATGGTGATTTTAATATTGGCTGTGTTGTTCCCAAGACAATATAGACCTTTTTGAGGTTAAAACCAAAGCAGGCAACATGTTTGCTGCAGCCATCAGATGAACAAGAATAACAAGTAACATCACAGTTATGACTTTTTTCACCATCAAAAATTATTTTCCTGATATTGCAAAAGGATAAACAAGCTCAAAGATGGCAACTTTTTGTGTTGTTGCCTGATTTTGCCTCACTTTGGTGCAAAAACACAGGCTCCTCGCTCAACTTATTTTCTAACCGTGAAAAGGTCTATTTCATTATTATTTTGTTATACAGAATATTGTATCAAGCCAATTAGATGATGTCATGTGATTCAGTGCAAGCCTTTCTTTATGAATTCTTTATAGTAACATGTGACAAAATATAGCTCTAATTTTAAACATTAAATCCATTAGTGTTGTGATGTAATGGTGAGGATCATAATAGATTGTTGTATTAGATTTGTTAGCCTCTGTACAATGTACCTGTACTTTAGAAAATCTTTTGAAGTACTGTGAAGATCTTTTCTCAACTTCTGAAAGCTGATGCTGCAGCAGTTTTAATTGTTCTGTGTGTCTCTTTCTTTCTGTAAAAAAATTTATTTACATGATTGTACTCACCAGTCTAACTTATATTCTGCACTCTGCATGATACATTGAATGAGAAAATAATTATCAATCACAATGGTGTACAATATGGTACATGTTTCCATCACCAACTACATGTAAAATAGAGATTATTTGTTTATTGACAGTATCACCTTTTTCAACAATATCCGGTCCATTTTTCTATATTGAACAAATGTCAAGAGAAAAATACACATAAAGTTTGAGATACTTGTGAACACCCCATCTCCTTGGAGCTGCCTTATTGTGTGTGAGCCAGCCCAGGTGGAAACCTAATATTTTAAATGATCTCTGTTACCAATAACTTTAACACAAGTTCCCAGGGCAACCACCATTGAATGGATTCTAGTTACAGAAAGCACCCACAATGTTTTATTCCACCTCTACTGTTCAATATGAATTGTGAGAAAAGTTCCTTTACACAGTATGATCACTGTAATTAGTAAAGGATACATATAAAATATAAAGCTTGGGTTTTTCTTGTGATTTCAGGGCCACAGGTAAATAGGATTCCAGTTTACTCCTCAGCTCAAGACTCCAGGAATTCTGATCAAAATAACAAGATCAAACGTAAGTACCAAGTAGAAGAGTAACAATATAATTATTACCAACTATAGTATCAAGACACCTAGAAGACATGGCCATGGATTGAAAAAACGTAAGCAAGTAGCCAAGGACTGTGTTTCACAATATACTGATTAAACACAATCAAATTGAACAGAAATAAATACATGGATTATTTTATTAATTCATAGGAATGGTTAATTTGTGAAAATTGTCCAGATGATCATAGAATTTTGGACAGCATTACAATT